TTAAAAAACATTGCATTGGCCAGGAATCGAATCATAGTCAGCTGCATGACAGGCGAGCATACTTCCACTGAACCAACAGTTCCTTCAGGTCAAACTAAATTATGATTCATGAAAATTGTAATTCATCTTATGTCAGTTTTTAAATTTAAAAAACATTGCACTGGCCAGGAATCGAATCATAGCCAGCTGAATGACAGGTGAGCATACTACCACTGAACCACCAGTGCCTTCAGGTTAAATTAAATTATGATTCATGAATATTGTAATTTATCTCATGGCAGTTCTTAAATTAAAAAAAAAACGTTGCACTGACCAGGAATCGAATCATAGCCAGCTGCATGACAGGCGGGCATACTACCACTGAACCACCAGTGCCTTCATGTCAAACTAAATTATGATTCATATGAATATTCTAATTCATCTTATGTCAGTTTTTGAATTTAAAAAAAACATTGCACTGGCCAGGAATCGAATCATAGCCAGCTGCATGACAGGCGAGCATACTACCACTGAACCACCAGTGCCTTCATGTCAAACTAAATTATGATTCATATGAATATTCTAATTCATCTTATGTCAGTTTTTGAATTTAAAAAAAAACCATTGCACTGGCCAGGAATCGAAGCATAGCCAGCTGCATGACAGGTGAGCATACTACCACGTAACCACCAGTGCCTTCATGTCAAACTAAATTATGATTCATATGAATATTCTAATTCATATTATGTCAGTTTTTGAATTTAAAAAATACATTGCACTGGCCAGGAATCGAATCATAGTCAGCTGCATGACAGGCAAGCATACTACAACAGAACCACTAGTGCTTTCAGGTCGATCCAAATTATGATACATGAATATTGTTATTCATCTTATGTCAGTTTTAAATAAAAAAACAAAAAACAACAACATTGCACTTGAATGGAATCGAATCATGGCCAGCTGTATGACAGGCGAGCATATTACAACTGAACCACCGGTGCCTTCAGGTTAAACTAAATTATGATTCATTAATATTGTAATTCATCTTATGTCAGTTTTTAAATTTAAAAAACATTGCACTGGCAAGGAATCGAATCATAGCCAGTTGCATGACAGGCGAGCATACTTCCACTGAACCACCAGTGCCTTCATGTCAAACCAAATTATGATTCATATAAATATTCTAATTCATCTTATGTCAGTTTTTGAATTAAAAAAAAAACATTGCACTGGCCAGGTATCGAATCATAGCCAGCTGCATGACAGGTGAGCATACTACCACTGAACCACCAGTGCCTTCATGTCAAACTAAATTATGATTCATATGCATATTCTAATTCATCTTTTGTCAGTTTTTAAATTTAAAAAAACATTGCATTGGCCAGGAATCGAATCATAGCCAGCTGCATGACAGGTGAGCATACTACCACTGAACCAACAGTGCCTTCATGTCAAACTAAATTATGATTCATATGAATATTGTAATTCATCTTTTGTCAGTTTTTAAATTAAAAAAAAAACACAAAAATAACATTGCACTGGCCAGGAATCGAATCATAGCCAGCTGCATGTCAGGCAAGCATACTACAACAGAACCACCAGTGCTTTCAGGTCGATCCAAATTATGATTCATGAATATTGTTATTCATCTTATGTCAGTTTTAAATAAAAAAAACAAAAAACAAACATTGCACTTGAATGGAATCGAATCATAGTCAGCTGTATGACAGGCAAGCATACTACAACAGAACCACCAGCGCTTTCAGGTCGATCCAAATTATGATTCATGAATATTGTTATTCATCTTATGTCAGTTTTAAATAAAAAAAACAAAAAACAAACATTGCACTTGAATGGAATCGAATCATAGTCAGCTGTATGACAGGCAAGCATACTACAACAGAACCACCAGCGCTTTCAGGTCGATCCAAATTATGATTCATGAATATTGTTATTCATCTTATGTCAGTTTTAAATAAAAAAAACAAAAAACAAACATTGCACTTGAATGGAATCGAATCATAGTCAGCTGTATGACAGGCAAGCATACTACAACAGAACCACCAGCGCTTTCAGGTCGATCCAAATTATGATTCATGAATATTGTTATTCATCTTATGTCAGTTTTAAATAAAAAAAACAAAAAACAAACATTGCACTTGACTGGAATCGAATCATGGCCAGCCGTATGACAGGCGAGCATATTACAACTGAACCACCGGTGCCTTCAGGTTAAACTAAATTATGATTCATTAATATTGGAATTCATCTTATGTCAGTTTTTAAATTTAAAAAACATTGCACTGGCAAGGAATCGAATCATAGCCAGCTGCATGACAGGCGAGCATACTTCCACTGAACCACCAGTGCCTTCATGTCAAACTAAATTATGATTCATATAAATATTCTAATTCATCTTATGTCAGTTTTTGAATTTAAAAGAAAACATTACACTGGCCAGGTATCGAATCATAGCCAGCTGCATGACAGGTGAGCATACTACCACTGAACCAACAGTGCCTTCATGTCAAACTAAATTATGATTCATATGAATATTCTAATTCATCTTTTGTCAGTTTTTAAATTTAAAAAAACCACTGCATTAGCCAGGAATCGAATCATAGCCAGCTGCATGACAGGCGAGCATACTTCCACTGAACCAACAGTGCCTTCAGGTCAAACTAAGTTATGATTCATATGAATATTGTAATTCATCTTATGTCAGTTTTTGAACTAAAAAAAATATTGCACTGGCCAGGAATCGAATCATAGCCAGCTGCATGACAGGTGAGCATACTACCACTGAACCACCAGTGCGTTCATGTCAAACTAAATTATGATTCATATGAATATTCTAATTCATCTTTTGTCAGTTTTTAAATTAAAAAAACATTGCATTGGCCAGGAATCGAATCATAGTCAGCTGCATGACAGGCAAGCATACTACAACAGAACCACCAGTGCTTTCAGGTCGATCCAAATTATGATTCATGAATATTGTTATTCATCTTATGTCAGTTTTAAATAAAAAAACAACAAAAAAACAAACATTGCACTTGACTGGAATCGAATCATGGCCAGCTGTGTGACAGGCGAGCATATTACAACTGAACCACCAGTGCCTTCAGGTCAAACGAAATTATGATTCATGAAAATTGTAATTCATCTTATGTCAGTTTTTAAATTTAAAAAACATTGCACTTGCCTGGAATCGAATCATGGCCAGCTGTGTGACAGGCGAGCATATTACAACTGAACCACCGGTGCCTTCAGGTTAAACTAAATTATGATTCATGAAAATTGTAATTCATCTTATGTCAGTTTTTAAATTTAAAAAACATTGCACTGGCCAGGAATCGAATCATAGCCAGCTGCATGACAGGTGAGCATACTACCACTGAACCACCAGTGCCTTCAGGTTAAATTAAATTATGATTCATGAATATTGTAATTTATCTCATGGCAGTTCTTAAATTAAAAAAAACGTTGCACTGACCAGGAATCGAATCATAGCCAGCTGCATGACAGGCGAGCATGCTACCACTGAACCACTAGTGCCTTCAGGTTAATACTAAAGTATGATTCATAAAATATGTAATTTTAGCTTTTAGCAATTTACGCACTACATGGACGTGAAGAGAGGGGGGATGAGTTAGGACCTTTTAAAAAATTGTGTAAATATTTCGAAAACAGTTTAGATCTACAATTTTAACCCATATCGTTTATGTAGCTTAAGTGAGGAATTAAATCGACGATTCTGTCGTCTTCCGAGTTTTTTTGCAAACATGTACATTTTCTAAAACATAAGATACTGATACATGTTTGTGTGAAAAATGTCGTGGGGATTCTGCCTACAACGCGTGAAATAAGGAAAAAAGAAATATCGTACCTTCTACGATCCGACATTTTGTTCCCGAAACGAATCGTTTCGGTAACCAGCGTAATCGAGCGGATCACCAGTGATAATGTAAAATAGAGGAAATTGCGCCTATGCATAATCATTCCCCGGTTCAACATATTTCTAGTGATGAAATATGCTTGTATCAACATTCCGCTTGGTTCCCCACTAACAGACAGTGTGCCTGTATGCACCTTTTGGTTATATAATAATAATAAAACACAATGTTCAGATGTTGCAACATTCCAAAACCATTAAAATATTGATTGGCTATATAAAATCTAAATGGCAAGAAATGAGTGTGTTGAAAATTCGCTTTGCCCCAATCTACCATTTCCCATTGGTTAACCATGGGTTCTACCATCTTTTTTGATTCATCAAATTTGACATCAATTTTAAACATATTGTAAAGGAGAGATTAAATTGAAAATTTCCTGAAATATAGAAAATATAGTCAAGGTACATTATCAGTTTTTCTTTCGTTTCGGGCTTAGAAAATGGAGTTCAAACATACATGGGGTTTAACATGTAAACCTATGAGGAAGAAGACCGGTCCTTAACTTTTCTTTGGGTGTATTGTTTCGATATTTATTTTTGAATAGCCCATTAAATGGGATGAGTAATTGTTTTTAGCATTAACCCTGCAGTCTGTTCAAATATTGCTTGCCAGTTTTTGTCTCTGTCATATAAAGTTAAAGGCCCCGCGTAAAGTTCAAAGCAAACGCCTCCAATGTGGCATTGCGAAACCTTATTAAAATGTGAGACGTGAATTTCAAAGAGTTTTTATTGAAGGACTTTTAGTTTTAAAGTTAAGTAGCCTAAATAAAGGAAAGATAAATATCTTAAAACTTTAAAAACCTGACGCCACTACATACTGTCTACATAAAAATAATTTAAAGGGGGAGATAGTGACAACTCCGACAAAATAATAACTGACAACTTCTTCCAGCTTTTATTTTTCTGTTATTCAAAATTAATGTATCCGAGTACAAAATAACGCCCCGCGACACCTTTTTAAATTTTTCCTTCGCGGAGATTTGATAGAGAAATATTGAAATTAATAAACCTAAATTAATTGTACCTAAATACTGAACGGGTATACTTCAACTTTGACATTTTATTTAGGTGAAACAAAATCAGCAAATGTGTGCGTTAGAGAAGGTATGGTATTGGAATGCCAGGAAGATGAAATAATTCGAATTCTTAGTGCTACATATTGGTACTCAGCGAATCAGACTAAATCGATAGTAAAGCAATGTGAGAAACATCCAAACGACACATGCTTCAGGGAAGACCCAGATTCCTTCATTACAGAGTGTGCTGGGAAGCAGGTAAGAGAAAATTGCAAAACTCATGAGAACTTCTCAAAATGATGTCTTTTCTTTATATTGTCCAGTTTCTCGATTTATGATTTTTGTTGTGTGTTTTCAGGTTTGTGAAACGCACATTGACAACAAGGTACTGTTTGACTGTGACAAGAAGGCCAACTATGTGGAGGTGAAATATACGTGTGATCAAAGTACGTAAAAAGCAACAATACAAGACAAGTTACTTTAATGAAATACTCAACAGGGTTCGAATAAATTTTCAACTGGGTGCCATGTTATTTTCAATTTTTCAACAGGGTGTGTACTGTAGGCTATGGGGCTGAGTATATTGATTTCTCATGACACTTGAAACAGCGATATCTCGAAGACTAACCGTCGGATTTACTCATTTATGCAATGGAAACACGAGGTTATAAGACATGTTCTAGGCATTTTCAGACGTAATCATGATACTCACAAATGATACCCTGCGTGCAGAGTCTAGTTATAATAACTCTTTTATAATCCAAACCTGAGGGGTCTGTGAAATACGCTATGGTATTTTTGATCACATGGTACTGAATCAGCCAATCAAATCACACAATTGCAATTTCTAGCAATGATATAATTAGAACAGGTATTGCCCTCCATAAAATGAAATATTTGCTTATTACAACGTATACGTAAAAAATATTTTCGTTACTAACGCCATATTTCAATTTATTCATATTAACAATATGCCCGCTATGACCTTAATATAGTGAGGTTGCGTCCGTTTACGTCATACTTAATTCTTTTGATTACTGTTTTATTTATCCCGTACCACATAAAATATGTAAAGCATCCCTCTCTTTGATATTAAAGAAATTATAGTCCAATAGACTAGATGCGAGTAGAAATAATCTTGATTTACGTCATTAAATATTCAAAATTCAGTCAAAGTGTTGTCATATTTGAAATCTGCATGTAAAAGTACATCTAGAAATATGGTTTCGAAAATTGTCTATCAACTTTGAAAATTTGATTTTTTTGAAAATGTGACTTCTTGTTCGGGTTGAATCCCCATAGACCCCATGTTACAAAAAAAGTGAATTATCTTATCTTGTATTGGACAAATAACATTTTCTTTTACTGGACATATTTTAATTTGCATAACTATTAGATACATAAGGGTTATATGAAAATTGAACCACGCAAATGGATGTAATTTATTAATTTAAAGGGAACTTTCTAATATATCCGCCATGCTATCTGACCCGAGCGAGCCATCTGGTGGTGAATCTGGTATCTACCTACTCGCATCTGCGTTATTGTCACGTGAAAGAGGAAACCATCGGGTGTCCAAAAGCAAACTATCCATACTCGCATCCAAACTCATTTAGTTTGTTTTTGCAGAGACGCATCTAATAGATTTATGTAGTAAGGTGACACGAACGATCCTGGGAGAGGGCATCATTGAAAGCCCCAACAACCCCTACTCCATACCTCCTGCCGCCGAAGAATGCTTTTGTGTTATCAACATTAACAGCGTGCTGGAGGGAGACGGACGTCTTTTGTTTAGGTAACATATCAATTTTGTATTTTCAAAGAAGGCTTAAATGTTCGAATGGATCATACGATGGCCTATAAAGGGAGTATCAGATCTAGGGAGCAACCTAAACAAAACATATCTTAATTTTAGAATATTTTGGGCTCATATTATTCGTCGTCATGTTTATTTTTAAAATTGCCATACTGTGTTCTTTTCTCTATAAATGTGATAACCACGCATTTATCCACACATTGATGGCAAATTGAGCATTTTGAATCTTGAATAACTTCAATGTATAACATAATGTGCATCTTTTGCGAGATTATATTTGAGATGTTAAAGAATATATTGGCCACGTGGCAGGTTAATTGCACATGTTGCTTGCAATTTTGTTATCACTTGGAACTCTGCTTTAAAACGTATTTAATAGCATACATATTTCGTTCGAAATAGTTGCCATGCCACAATAATCAAATGTCAAGGGACTCGAGGCATAATTATATAGAAGGTAATGCGTCAGTTATTATTTTTCAAGGATGTTAAAAAAAACGTATAATAAAAAAAAATTAATGTTACAGCCTTGTTGGAACTCATCTTATGGGAGACCAAGAGAGATGTCTACAGTATTTGAAGGTTGGAGACAAGAAGCGTCATAAGGAGTTATGTGGAACTATGGATAGCGATATACCTTTCCAGCAGTTTTTTTCAACAAAGGAACAAATCATTCAAGTCTCGTTCAGGAACAACTATCCCAAAAACCACGGATCGTTTAGGTTACTGTTCCAAGGTATAAAATCATTACGCTTATTTTTCTGGCCATACCTGTATACTAATTATTTCCCACCCTAGAGTCTAGTGATACGACGTCAGATACTGTACATCGCGGCATTTTACTGCATTTTTAATGCGTACTTACTTTTAAAACCGCAATATCTCGACAGCAAAATCATATTTTTCTACAATTTTTCGTCATCAGTTGATCACGTATGTCCATGAACTATTTTGCCTATCAGAATTCCAAATAACTGATTTGGGACTTTTTAAATGAGAATCACGCAAGCCGTATTATGCGACTTTCTATGCTAAAACCGGGTGTCGACTGTAACATTTTGAAGAAAAGTGATTTTAATTCTAAACGAAAAATGAAGATAACTTTTTCATTTCCCAACGGATCTTTCTCAAATTTTCACAATATTTAAATTCACCATCTTGGAAAAGACAAACAGATTCTGTGTGATGACGTCATAATATAACAATGCTAACTTAACGCTTATATTTATGCAAAAAAAGTGTCGACAGCCAGAATTTCGTACCAACAAGAAATATATTTTGATCAATTAAACATTAAACCGTTTGAAAGGTGAATTATTCTTTTTTGATTCCTGAATGGCATATCATATTCTATATTTTTATCAAAAAACTATATCATTTCGATTAAAATTCAGTCTGTAAGAAGTATAAATTGAAAGAAATATGAAGTGAAGCCATGTGAAAAATTCACAAAATTACGTTTCATTTTTTGAGTTCAAATATTTCTAATTAAGGGATAAACATTCAAAACGTTCCAATGTTTCAGCATGTTCTTTTAAATATACCCCTTACTACATACAATTAATTTCATTTAATTTGAACCAGTATATATTGAGATAGACATCGTTTTATCACCGCAACCCCAAGTGAAGCCTTTACAAAATAAGACGTTACGCCGTTAGCGTATTATATGTTCTCCTTTATTATTCATTGCTTTAAATAAATAAAACTAAATATTCGAGTTAAAATAAATTACAAATAATGCATTTAACAATCCTTAATATCTTCCCGTCTGTGTTTATCAGTTGAATATGACAAGGGGCATTGTGAAAGAGTCTAGAAAGACGGTGCGACAACGAGAGCGCAGGGCCGAAAAGCGCGACAAAGAAGAAAACGGGTAGGGTTTGAAATGTCTACTTTCTGGTGATTCTAATTATGTATATCGTGACACAACCTTTTTAAATATAGAATTGTATTGAAGCACACATTAATCTGAACAAAACTTGAAGTTTTTAAGAAGATTCCACGAATATCAAAACGTTTGCAATTACTTGGAGGAGCATTGCGCATATTTATCGCGTAGATATTTGCATTTTGTCGGTAAAATGAACAATTACACTGTTACGCCGTGATGTACAGTATCTGACGTCGTATCAGTAGGGTTTTATTGTCATGTGCTGGTGATGGGAGGGTTGGGATTAGACGGGGTACGAGGCAAGCGAGGCAACTCTTTCACCAAAATATTAAGGAATACATTTATTCAGACGTTTTTAGCATTTTCACATTAACACTCTTCTAAAGAAATATATTTCTATTTCTATTTATTTAAGATGCATCAGGCATATTTGCCCAATATGCAAATTTCAATGCATACATATAAAATATTAATATTCAATTTCCTATAAAGTATAAAATCTTACTAAAATATAGTTTATGTAAAATGCATTTCGCTGACTAGAGCTTGAGATAAAGTAATGATTGAATTATCAAAGCATTGTCCCTATAAATGTACACGAACTGACCTGCAGTTAGTTACACATTTTAAAATGATAAACCCAAATCTAGATTGTTTAAATGGTGGCACTTGTAGGTCTAAAATGTTTCCATGCAGCTTATTTGATTCCACTATTGTTTTTGAAATAAAACTGTATTTATGTAAGTCTGTCCTGGTATTTGGGATTATGTACTTGAGGCCGGGGGATGAGAGTTCCTTGTTGTGACAAACTGTTTGGGATCTGATGTAAGGAGGGACATTAATGGCTGCCTTGCCATTCATTGCCTTGTGAGAGTGATAGTCTTGCGGTACATCTCCTATGGTGCCAGGCTATCCCATCCAAGATGTTTTAAGTCATTGGTGGCGTAGTCAGGCTCCCTACAGTAGCAGCGAGTAACAAAGCGTGATGCTCAGTCTTCGTTGCACCTGTTCTATCATATTTGAATGGTTTGCCCTATAAGTGTCCCATATACCACTAACATATTCGAGATGGGGTCGTACAAGGGCGTATGATTGTGCTTTTACCTTCTCGGGTCAGTTGTTAAGGTTCCTTCTTATGAAGCCAAGTGTTTTGTTAAGCTTTCGCGGTAGCATGTGCGATGTGAGTATCCAAGTTGGTTTTGGGATCTGTTGAGGTGAACTCCTAGATATTTACTATTTGTTACTTACTATTTTTACTAGCTGTTTACTATTTGGAGTTTCTGACCTAGGATTGTATAGTTATATATAATAGGGGTTTTCTTTTGATGAATGCGTAGGATAAAACATTTTGAAGGGTTGAATGACATTTGGTAAGTTTCAGCCCATTCCGCACGGGTGTTGAGGTCGTGTTACAATGTAGCGGAGTCGCTATTACTGTTTATAGCCCGATATAGTAAACTGTCATCTTCAAAGAGTTTGAGATTTGTTTCCTGGGAAATGTTGTTATTCATGTCATTTATGAGAAGCAGGAAACAGAGAGTCCCGGGAACAGTTCCTTGAGGCACATCAGACTTGACCAGGCAGCTTTTACTTAACTGACCTTCTAGAATAACTTTTTGAGTCCTATCTGTCAGCCAAGATTTGACCCATTTTAAAGTTTCATCTCTGATACCATACACATGTAACAACCGAGGCTCTGTCGAAAGTACAAATACATCCGGTTATCCCTTACCAGGACTGAAGTACCCATCTTTTGTCTGTAAGTTTATGTTGTTGGGGCTGGGGCTGAAGAGTCCGGATGAACCAATTGCAACAGATTGCGATCAAAAACAAAAATTTCCCCGTTCTGCCGATAAACCCATACGGTTAGGGGATTCAACTACATAAAAAGAATCGCTAAAGTATTCCGGGCTTTAGTGAGGTTGGTATTTTAAAGAGACCTTTCAATTTTACTCTGTAGCACAATTATAATGTTTGTGATGACACCTATTTTCCCATGTTGAGGCTAAAATACAATATAAACAAATCTGTGAATTCGTACAATATGTAGCCTAGCCGTTGATAAATATTCATTTTTCAATGAATTAATTGTGAATTAATTGTATACGTTTTTCTGATTTTGTAATCAAAACGATGGAAATGTTTCCCACAAGACGATGATTATCCATGATGGATTCACCTGTACGCAGCGTAGCCAGGATGTGACAGAGACAGACGATGCTTTTTAACAGATTTGGAAATATTTTTCTCGTCGCCATTTTCTTCCTGGCTACGTAGCTGACAATGCCTATGGATGTACGTTCACCATTTGAATCTCGTTGTCGATTCTTATAGCTTTGGAGAGTTGAAACAATTCAATGATATATAAACAATAACAATTTCAGCTGAATCGAGCGATGGTAACGCCTTGGACACCCCTATACACGTATCGTGTAATGCAGATATGGACACGACCATCTTACCAATTGACTATGTGCCCACTACAACACCTTCACATGCGACAACCACAGCAACTCCCGTGGCACCCACAGTCGCTCCAGTAACAACAAATGCAGGTAATATGCACAATTGTGATAAAACCTGTATAGAGGGCGCATGTTCTACAAGTCGGGGAGTACAAATATTAGGTATGATAGAACAGCAAGGACAGTACTTAACTCCTCTCTTAAAATATATCCTTGATATGTGACATCCTTAAATTATAAATGAATATAGGATAACATTTTCGTCCAAACTTTTAATACTAATTTTTCATTACTTACACGGATTTAAAGCGACACGATTTATTGTAGGTCAAACGGGTGTTTCAAGTCAAAGCACAACGAAGCCGAACTCCCCATCTGTTGCTAGGAACGATGTTCCATCTGGCTTGTATAAACCAGGTAATACTTCTTCTACTTTAGTATCATTACAATATCTAAATGGTATTGCCCAGGTAATACGTATACAATTACAACAAGGATCCATGGTGCAAATTTGGAACTCTTGTCATTCTTGGACGGCTCGATGGTTGCGCATGCGTCATACAGGGTGACTGGAAAAAAGGAGACCATTGCAATACCTCCAAAACTAGACAAGTAGTGATAATAATGACCTTTTTCACATTCAAATTATTAAATAAGTTATTCAAACTATTACTCCTATTCTAATCATCCTGTACTTAAGACAAAACCTAAATTGAAAACTAATTTTTAGTTTTATTCCAGGTCAGGTTGCTGGGATCGTGATAGGGGTGCTGTTAGTTGTAGGATTAATAGCTGGCGCTGTTTATTACTTTAAAAGAAGGTGAGTTTCGTCAAAATGACAAAAGGTTTTCTAAATGAACAGGTCATTCAAAATACACGAGTTCAGGTATTTCTAAAAGAAAACATTTTTGAAAAAATGCCATACCGGGACATGTTATTTTCTGATGCAAAATAAAGTATGAAGGCATGTGTGGATTTCCTTGCTTTTTTCAGGAAAGTATCCTTGCATTGTCTCACTTTTAGTAAACCTGGTAACAGGTCAATGGCAATGTTTCAAGAACAATCATTCAACATGGCTGCCTTTTCAATTTCCAAATTTCTTCTCCAAGTTTCTCAATAACACTGGATTGCCATTGACCACTTACTAAAGGTTTACTAAAAGAAGAGAATATATTGATACTTTCCTGAAAAAAGCAAGGAAATACACAAACGCCCTCATACTTTATTTTGTACCAGAAAATAACATGCCCAGATATAGCATTTTTCAAAAATGTTTTCTGAAAAGAATAACATTAAGATGATTCACTAATTTTCTTAGGCTATAACAATTGTTGCTATAAGAACTGGTTGTCTTGATATAATATTTCGAAATCTTTGGGAAAAAGCTTTACAATTATGTAAACCATTGGGACCTTAACATATTATGATTATTGTTGTTTGTCTAAGTTCGAATTTTATTTTTCAGGCCTGGTGGTAATGTTTATATCCACAAATTCCCATAAACACCTGTTGCATTCACAAATGTATACGAGCTTGCACACAGCAAACAAAATGAACGTTGTCCAGTGCAATATGATAATGCAATAGCCTATGCAAGATGTGATTGTGAAGGACTGTAGTCTAGTATGAAATATGAAGATCATCATGAAATGCCACATCTAAACATCTCTGAATGTTAAATTCAAAGCTTCCCACATCGACTTGCACATACAATCAGCTTGCACTTGCAATTGAGTATTCCATTTGTTTTGTATTCCAAAGTCACTTAAGGCAATTACTTGAATAAAGATAACAATACTTTCCAAATGGTTGTATGGGTACGTTTCCACATTTTTGTTATTTCCTATTTTCCCACGTTCAATTTTTAGTTTCTCACGTGATTGACAACCTAGTTTATAATATCCAAACTTCGATATATTTTGACACTAGGTCCATGATCATTGGATACGTCTCTGCACTTATCGTTCAACCTTCAATAAAATGTAAAGATAATAAGGGAAAGAGTTGTATTTAGGTCACCATATAAATCAATGGAGAGTAGGACCATAACTTGATGGGACCTCCTACCCTTCTACACCGGATCCGCCTTGGTGTAAGCTTCGCATTTTTATGACTTCTGCGTTGATGTCTCGAATAATGGTACTCCAGTTCTCAATTCTGCTTGATTTTAGCTTATATTTAGCTTATATAGCAGTATATTTTTGACTTGTTTGTGCCATGTAAATTGTTATTTGTTTAATCAGATGTTTTACTCATTATTAATGAACCGTATAGTAAACTCCCATTTGAACTCAACTCTAAATGACGGAGGTATTTAATTTGTCTTTTTATAATATCAACTACCAATTGCAAAGGTATTCTTCCAAATTCTCCTCTTACTGCCATGTTTGTGGCTTTTCTATGAACCCCGAGAACATATTTTTGGAACCGAATATGATTGTTTTCAATTAAAGCACTTTAATTGTTCACTTGTACTCAGAAGACAACAGAATCGTCGCTTTAATACCTTACGATTGTAAATGGTAAGAGTTAGAGGTGCAGATCTTAACCATTTTTGAAATTCTGTTTAGGTAACAAAAGTGAGGTATTAAATCGAGGATCGTGTTGTCCTGTGAACTATTCGCTAGCACACCTCGAAACTATATGTTAACAACATGATCGAGTGGAGTACCAGTGTTCATATAATATATGATTTTGAAACTTAAAACCAATCCTGATAACCAAGATATCTAAAATCATTTAAATAATATATGATATAATAATATTACATTGAATTACTCAAGCATGCCAAAGGATGAGTCATCCAGTCGATGAGTTGTCCAAGGGATGAGTTGTCCAAGGGATGAGTTGTCCAGGGGATGAGTTGTCCAGGGATGAGCTGTCTAGGGGATGAGTTGTCCAGGGATGAGTTGTCTAGGGGATGAGTTGTCCAGGGATGAGCTGTCTAGGGGATGAGTTGTCCAGGGATGAGCTGTCTAGGGGATGAGCTGTCCAGGGATGAATACTTTTCCGTATTTATTCTAACAATATCACCTCCAATGAATTTGAGAATGAGTAGATTTTCAATATTTGGGAAGAATGAAACGAATTAATTAGACATATGACACATAGAAGAGCAACTTTGACTGGTTGACAGAAGCTATCACCTTCACTATCATCGCTCTAGGAACTAGGGCCTATGGTAATTTTTGACATGGTACTGATACTCTTTGTACAAATTTTCAATGAGTTTGGTCCATCAGTTGCCAAAGAAAAACTTGTCAAAAAGTGTTTCATTTGTGGGACGCCCGATGTACAGCATTACAGCATATTTCCGAACCGTATAAAGCGATGGGTTTCATAAGTTGATCATACAATGCAAATTTCAATTACAGGACGATTTCATGTCTGTGTGCCGCTTTAAATTAGTTGCCTTGCCCGATCCCGAATCAATTAAGACGATTGCTAAATATATACTTTTGAACATTTTGTTTATTCTTACCATTCATTTTGGGATCGTTCTTGACAAACTTTGCCACATTTCCAGAATTTTATGATTTTTGTTTTATCAATGTAAATTTCAAGTTTCCAGTCATTACAAAAAGACTCAAGAGTGTTTAGTTTTAGTTGCAGTCCTTCTTTGCTAGTATCAAATATAACTAAACCGTCTGCAAATAGCAAATTGATAACATTTTGAGTTTCAAAGGATTGAGATTTCCCAATATTATCAAACTTTTTTTATTGATATTGATAGAGCAATTTGTGACCGTTATCAGATGCCAATCAACGTAACTTTCCCAATGATATATCATACTTGGTACAATATATCTTGGTTTTGGCTGTAGAGGAGGGGACTTATTTGACATTCTATAGATCTCTAATTTGAACGTGATCTCAATATGAGCGCCAGAGACCCCATTGATTTATTGATCTCTATTGATTTATATGGTGACCTAATTACAATTATTTTCTTTATTATTCATACACAATCCGGGCCAGTAAGCATTGCACAGAATTTGTCGAATATTTCACTGCGCATGCGCAGAACCATTACTTCCGGTTTTTCAAAGCCTATGGGATTTATAATGGAGACATTTTTTGAACGCTTACTGTGCGAGTGGTGTTGGTTTGACACCTTAGTAATCTCAGGTTTCTATAACTAGACATCAATTTCTTTTGATTTAACATGTTTCAATCGATGTACATTTGCAAACTTTTCGGCCCATTTGTTTTGAAAAAAATGATAAAATCAGTAGGAATTCATGCATGACGCCATTGAAATTCATGTGAAATGACGTGAAAATGGTGAAAATGGCATACTTTGACAATCTGGTAGAACTACTTCAAAGCATATGATATCTTAATAATCTCAGGTTTCTGTAACTTTAAAGGTAGACCTGTTTGATTCCGTTTAGAATAGGGTCCGCATATCTCTAACTTTTCGGCCCATTTGTTTTGAAAAAGTGATAAAATCAGCATGAATTCAAGCGTGACGCCATTCGTGGGTGCACAGGGATGCTTTGGACTTATTTACAAAGAGCTATTTTCTATGACAGCTCATTAAAAATGCGAAAACAAAATTAACATGACAATTAAATGGTATATTCTTTCCCTTTATATTGAACAAGGGCCATTCAAATGGTAACTAACAGAATATTACATTTCGGAATCGGGCATTTATACTTTATGTCGAGCCACATATTTTTTAGTGAAATTACGTCACGATTTTAGATTTACGACGTGACATCTATCGGCTATTCGACCAATTCTGTGCAATAGGGCCGTAAGGAAATGGGACCATAATCCAGAGGGGACCATATAATTTCTTTTGCACCGGCATTTGGCCTTGATGATACGATTTTACGCCGCCCGAAGACAATGGAAATCATATCGAAATGTAATTGGCATAGAAATCGCACAAAACGGTGGTAATAGTATAGTTTCTATATAGCTGAATAAAACTAATAGAAAAATAATAGAGGTCACCTTGTTTGCCTTTGATTTGCTTGGGCTAAACTTCTATTGACTTCAATGCTAGAAACGTGCAATAGTCACTTGATTTCATGATTTATCATAAAGTGTTGGTCGAATCTGTCTGAAACTCGAATGGCATACTACTAAGGAATAACCATTGGATTTGTTCATATGTCGTCCAAAAAATACACTTGACCTTATGTGCACGTTTTGTGGAATAACAAGGGAAAGTATAGGTAAGCCTATTTTGCTTAACCACACCTTGAACATTTGTTTCTACACAGTTAAACAAACAAAAAACGTAAAGCTTCGAGCGATGCCTGCCTCATATATGGCTGTTCACTGTCCTAGATCAAGAATGAACTCTACAAAATATCGCAAGTCGTATTTAAAAAAAAACGCCTCCGTGATATTGATTCTTTTCCAATTTGACCCTTGCAAAAAGTGTCATCGAAAATATGTTCTTTTAATGATTTTATATATTTTAAGTGACATGGAAGAATATATTTTGCAATGTGTGAAAAGAATTTAAGCCAAAGACTGAATGCATTGTGGAAAGGTCTATTTTACGATTCGAACATGAAAACCGCATTACACGTATTACCAGGGGTATTAGAGAGGTTAAGCAACACTACTTTTTACAACGTAAACCGCGAACGGGAAGGCGCGCGCAGGTTTTTCTCAGGATGTGACGTCATATTGTTCTACTTATTTCCCGGTTTACGTACATCCAAACGTGAAAAATCAAAGTCTAGGTAGGTCGTTCCGTAAAGGATTTTTCGTACTTTATCAAGTTCGATTGAGATAAATATGATAGAGGTCGAATGCATAAATATGTTTGACACAAATCTGTGTATATATCGAGATCATTTGGGTCCAATCTAATCAAATATAACTTGAATATTAAGCCACCCATTTCATAAGCAAAATCTGATGAGATAACATGCATGGCAATTGCCAACATGTCAACTCATCTTAATTCTACTATACATATTGTGACACCATAGTAATAAAACTATGGATGCTTTAAAGACATTTCAGATATTATTGCGCCCTGTTGTATTTTGTAAGAATCAAGTCATAGAACACTGCCAGGCTGTGAAACATCTCCTTTGTTAACACTTTCATCAATTTATCAATAAAGTAATACTTTTTTATACTTTTAAAGTAGAAAATAAAACGAAAGGCCGCTAAAAAAGAAAAAAAATCATTTTGGGGTTTGCGTTTACGTTACGTCTAAAGTGCTCAGCTTAAAGCACTTCTGTTCATAGTACGTAAACGGGAACGTAAAGGTTTACGTTTGCGGTTCACGTCATAAAAATCGTCTTGCTTAACCTCTCTATTGTTCTACTTATTTCCCGGTTTACGTACATCCAAACGTGAAAAATCAAAGTCTAGGTAGGTCGTTCCGTAAAGGATTTTTCGTACTTTATCAAGTTCGATTGAGATAAATATGATAGAGGTCGAATGCATAAATATGTTTGACACAAATCTGTGTATATATCGAGATCATTTGGGTCCAATCTAATCAAATATAACTTGAATATTAAGCCACCCATTTCATAAGCAAAATCTGATGAGATAACATGCATGGCAATTGCCAACATGTCAACTCATCTTAATTCTACTATACATATTGTGACACCATAGTAATAAAACTATGGATGCTTTAAAGACATTTCAGATATTATTGCGCCCTGTTGTATTTTGTAAGAATCAAGTCATAGAACACTGCCAGGCTGTGAAACATCTCCTTTGTTAACACTTTCATCAATTTATCAATAAAGTAATACTTTTTTATACTTTTAAAGTAGAAAATAAAACGAAAGGCCGCTAAAAAAGAAAAAAAATCATTTTGGGGTTTGCGTTTACGTTACGTCTAAAGTGCTCAGCTTAAAGCACTTCTGTTCATAGTACGTAAACGGGAACGTAAAGGTTT